CTTACTTGGATTAAGTTTTACCTTTTTTCGGTATAGAGGCAAATACAGACTTACTCAAGTACCTCAGTATGACACGTAGGGTACTTGTTTAATTTTACTCTTCCTTCCTTGGCAGAAAATTTACACACCAGAAGCGTAACTTTTAATACACTGTTTTTTGAAAAGCCCCTTTGCATTTTGTGACTTTCTTTGTACCTCAGGAATTGGTCATGAATGGGATAATCTCTGCTGTCTTTCTTGAGAATTAAGTTTTATAAAGTTACCATTTCTTTTTAGTAAGTTAAAGAAAATGCTAAGAAAAGAAACCCGTTGGATGTGGCATATGACCCACAGTTTAAGACGTTTGTCACCCAGTCAGGACATACAGGTATGTCCGTGAAAGAGTAGAAACAACTTAATCCCTCTCATTGATGAAACTGAAAATAGTTGTAATATCGTTATCATCATTATTATTATACACTTTCAAGTATTTTATTTGTCCTGTTCTAAAAATTATGATGGGTATTTAAAAATTCCAGGTCTACACTTGTGCCAAATGCCCATTAAGTGGCCTTCCTATGCTGAAAGTTTTAAAAATGATTACACTGTATGTTAACTGCACTGGAATTAAAAAACAACATTGTTATAGGAGGCACTGACATTTTAGAAATCAGAAGGTGATCTGATCACATCTGTGTTCCAGAAACATAACTCTGCTTGTTCCCATATGTTAGCTGTATTATTGGGTTTTTATCACAGGCTGCGTTACAAATTGGTAAGCATTTCTTTGTCTTATTTTCACAACAATATCAGTTGACCTGCGCCTGGCAGTCTGTATCACGAACATATGCTAGAGATCACAAATTTGGCAGAAAAGGGAATTGTAAATTAAATCTCATTTTAGTACAAGGACTGCATCATAGCTACCAAGACCTAGTTTTCAAAGGAAGTAAATTTACATGGAATAATAAAGTCCCTCCCCTAGATGTAACATTTGAAAAACACATGAACTTACATCAAAAATTATTATAACATGGTGCCAGTACTACAATTTAGTCACTGTATGTTGAAGAACTATGCATTTTATAAATACCAAAACATATAGTATCTTGAAGCGTAAAATCATCTAGTGAGATAACGTAAATCTTAGTGGGTGATGTTAAGTGAATTTTGCAGTTACCTTCAGGAACTGCAGGTAGCATCCTATTTAATAAAGAATGACTTTGAAGGAGACTTACAAGTTTGGGAACGTTCTTCTCTTTGAGTAAAATAGACACACTTTTCTAAAAGTACAGTTGTGTAACACAGTCACACTTGGGCCACAAATCGCTTTTGATTTTCAAGCTTTGCAGTTTATTGCCGCAGTACTATCAGTTGCCCCTTCATTTTCATTCTTCTCATTAATGCTAGTCGAGTTCGTCAAGAGACTGAGATGTTACGATTAATGACCGACGGGGCCCAAAGCACACAGGGTTCACCATGTCCCTCACAGACTTCATAAGGTTTTGTTGTACTAACATTGCAGGCTGCAGCGGGCCGTAAGAAGTGATGAAAGTGATCACAGCCTTTCAGAGCCCTACGTTTAGGTCTGATTATTGGAGCACACTGACTGGATTAATGTTTAACAGCAGCTGTCCTGTGGATTCACTGAGGGAGTTGAGAGATGGCTATTTCATTCTCCTTTACTCGACTGGCCTTTTTGCACAGTTAATTAAGACCCGCTGAAGAACAGCCTTAGGAATAGGGCCTGGGAAGGGAGAGCCCTTTAAATAATGCAGATGTAATAGTGCATTTATTTTCAAAGCCCAAGTAGCTAGTTTTACCCAGTTTGGATTAGTGGGATCAGATTTGATGTTGCTTTCTGGGTAGAGGAACTAATACTAAGAAACGACTAATTTTCTTGACTGTGATCTGAGCTTTTAAGTTACTAGGCGCTGTTAAAGAGCTGAGCTTGTAGAGTAAGTTCACACGCAGTTCCGTTTTCATAATTTTCTCTAGTTACAATATATACACAGAAAGAACATATGTATACAGTTTAAGGACTGATTATCATGTGGACACTCAGGTAAGTAGGGCTCAGATGGAGAAAAATTACTAGCATTCCAGAAGCCCCACGCTCCCCATGTGCTCCATTCAGAAGGCGACCCCCCTCTCTCCTCTGGGTGGCTATCATCTTTACTTTTGTCATTTCCTTGCTTCTTTTTCTAATGTGTCAACTTATATTTGCACCCTAAAATGACATGATTTAGGTTTGCCTAGCTTCAAACTTAACACGAATAGAGTTGCATTATGGGCCCCTGTGTCTGGCATCTTTCACTCAGCATTACATGTCTGAGATTTTCTCCTCGTTTTTGCTTGCCAGTGTGTTTTTTTAAAAAAGACTTTTCTGTATTTGCCCCTCTCCCTTTTTTACTTAGGATTCCTGTAACTCTCTAAACGCTCTCAGATAGTCCCACTTTGCCTCCCTGGATTTTCTGCTAAATAAGGTCTAACAATTGAAACTCGCCTGGACCCCGGTTTTGTGAACTGACCCGGCTGCCCCCGTTTGACGGCCTTCGTTTAGATGAGACTACATCTTTAAGGCATCTGTGCTCCGTTAAAAACCTTCCTTTCTCCACGGCTGGTCCAAGGGTCTGGTCACGTGACTCCCCCAGTGACATCACATTCTGACCGCCGGGGAACACTGGTGGTGCTTTAGGTGGCATTTGTTCCTGCGAAAGGCAGGGAACGCAGCAAGTGCCCTTCTAAAGCAGTGCACCCCAGGGCTCCTTCTGTAAATGGCCAAATGCTGGCTGCCAAGGTTATTTCTTCCTTGAGGCAGAAAAAAAGAAAGCTGTGATCGCAGGTAAGCAGACTTGAGCCCAGCCCAGCACCGAAGTGTGACCCCAGGGAGAAGGGGGATCTGGAGAATCACAAGCAGTCTGTTTGTCGGCTTCTAATCACTGCCTGCTCTTTTCGGAGCCGCCTGACAATTTGCGTTGCTAACGGGAGACTGTCTGCGAGGCAGAATGATGCAGTGCTCATGTTACCTAGTGATGTAATAGGAGTCTTTCTTTCCTGTTGGGAAGCCGTTGCAGGGCTTCATGTTTGTCTTAATGTCCGTAGAGCTGGGCGCCTTCTGTGACATACAGTGTAACCTTAGATAGCTCTCGGGTGCTTTTAAAAATCAGTTGCACTCAGTTGCACAAAATCCTCTCCTAAATTTCTCCTGAGAGGAGAGCGCTTGAGTCAGAGCAGATTCATTTGAAGCATTAACCTGCTTTCAAAAGTAAAATTCTGGTTGTTGGGTGTCCTGTGTGTTCATGTCAGCATTTGTCTTGAGAATTGAAACAGCTTGGTTTTCTTTTTTTTTCTTTCTTTTTTTTTTTTTTGCCCCTCTCACCATACTTCATTTTCTTTCTGCCCTCCTTTCCTAGCTTGCTGTTTCCCTCCAAGCTCTCAGACACACCAACATTAATCTTTATCAGTATGCCACTGACAGGATAGGAAATGCTGGGCTGGTGATTCAGCAACCAACCATTTCACAGCCAGGTAGGCTTGAAGATACGGAAAGGACTTTGGTTAGGAGTTTTAAGATTAACTGGTTCCCCACCTCCACTCCAGCCCCACCCGCCACCCTCAATAGGATCTGGATTCTGCAGAGCTTTTCTTTTTAAATGTGTGTGTTGCCGGTGAAAGGTACGCCATCCCCCATCCCAGGGAGGAATTTGGAAGACGGACAGTTTGTAAATCAGGTACAGCTTGAGGGTTAATTCCCATTTACCCTAGGAGAGTGCTGAAGTTGTCTGTGGGAGTTTGGAGTGAAGATGGGGACGCAGTTGGCGGGTGGGGGAGCTGGGTGTCCTCTCAGGGCCCACTTTGGCCTTCTCTGCAGAGGGATTCATCACCAAACAGTCTAGATGAAGCTTTGTCCCTGCCAGGGTTGACGCTGCAAATGTGAGTTTTGGCTGGTTGAGTTCAATGATAGCATTACTCTGCATTTTTCCTCAGTGCACATTTGCATAAATTCCTGAATACTGTTTTGCATTTTGTGTTTAATAGAGAAGTACTGTTTCCCCAGAGGACGGTGTGGAACAAGTTTGTCAAGCAATATTAAGTAATCTAGTTTGTGTACTGCTCCAGAGTTTGAATACTTCATTCTCATCCCCACGGTTCCGCAAATAAACTTTGATTCCGCTGTTATTTCTTGAATCTTGGATATGTGTTAAATGCAAGAATGCAATGGCGACTCAGAGAGCTGCCCTCAAAGAGCTTCGGGTCTAGAAAGGAAGACAAAAATATTTGCATTAAGTGATTATAATAGAAGTGCTGAAAGCAAAGCAGAGAAAGGACTGGTTGGGCAAGTGGGTATGTGGCTTCCATGGAAGGATCAAGGAGGGACATTCCATTGCGTGGCCAGGCACTGGTCTTTGAATCTCTGCTTGTAAGTCTTAGACTGTTCTGCCATGGTCGAAGTTTCTAGGAGCCCATTACATCAAGGATCAAAGTCTTCAACCTATTGAAGGCTAGTATGTACATTCCAGCCGGCTTAACTCTTGAAGAGCCCGACATGCTTTCTTTGGAGTTCCCACTCAGGCAAAAGCCACCTCCCAGAATTGAATTACTGCCTTACACATGCAAAATAGTTTCTGGTGTGCTCTGTCTGCAAAGACCTTTGGTCCTTTTGTCTCCCTTCCATAAAAGAGACTGAAATACCTAAGCTGCTTCAGTGTGCTCCAGTATTTTGTTTCAGAAATCCTTTTCCCACTACACTTCAACTCCTGCCAGTTCTCCCCTTTGTACTGCCCTGCTCATCTGTCCCTTTCCATTTAGACTGCCTTAAGGCACTCTTCGTTTTGTGCCTAGACCACAGAAACCGCTAAATATGATGGATGTTCCCACCAATGATTATATTGCTTTATCAGCACACCCTAACTGTAATCATCCGATGGTTTAAGGACTCACCTTTTGGTGCTCATCAGGGAGGTGTTAAAGTGTTTAGAGTGTCTGAGGTGCTAATGTCTGCTTCCTGTTCAATACAGAGGACAAGTCATACAATGGTGGAGGAATAGGTTCTTCAAATAGGATGATGGACTTCTTGGAGGAGCCGATCCCTGGTGTGGGGACCTATGATGATTTCAACACAATTGACTGGGTGAGGGAGAAGTCTCGAGACCGGGATAGGCATCGAGAGGTAAGAACAAAGATGGTACGCAAGTTAAGTGTCAGGAAACATCAGGGGAAGAGGTTGAAGATACGTATTCTTTATATGTCTCTTTTCTTTTGGCCTTGGACGTGGCTGAATCTGGTGTCTACTGGCAATGTAGGGTTTTTTTTTTTAACTTTATTTTTAGGGCATTTTGTGTCTGATTTTAAAAATTTCTATTTAATGGTGATTTATTTTCCTATAATAAAGTAGTTGGAAAGGATCCTCACAGCCCTGATGTGGGTATAAGTGCCTATGTAAAGAGGTAAAAACAAACTTGGTGGAGGGGACTGAAGTACGTTTCAGAGGTCTTCTTCCTCGATCTCATTTCCCTTTTATGGTTTTCCCTGAAACAGGATTTTTAGAACTAAGAAAAGAAAGGGGGCTTCTTTCAAATAAATAAAAGGAAAAAAAATTCTCAGCGCCCTGGTGTTTACTGAAGCCTACAGGATAAAGTCCTTGTGATTATGGCTCTTGTACAACCATAAAAGAAAAGTACGCATTCGACTCAAACCCACAAGACCAATCAAATTCAAATTAAGGATGTTAATTTAATGTGACAGGTAATAAGATGGGGCTCCCAGCTATGGCACAGATTCCTTTGAATTTGGTGAGAGAATTGCCCCACTTTTCCCTTTCCAGAGTCCATGAAAACCTCTTAGAGCAGTCTGCCAAGGTCTTTTGCCCTTAACTTGTTGCCGTGCATCATTTAAATCAGGGAGTCACAATTTCTAGCTCCTCTCAGGGCCACGTGGAGAGCTTACTCAAAAGGGAGGGCCCCCTAGCCCCAGTGATCCAAATTCAGCGGGTGATCCTCTGGTGAGACATTTCTTCAGCCAGCCTTAGGTGTGGTTGTTTCTTTCTTATTGTTTCTGCTTTGAGTCCAAATTTAAAACATGATTTTGAAGTCAGTCCCACTCTCTCCTGAGTTCATGATTTCCTTTGCTCAGAGCCAGGCAAGTCTCCTGAGCAGTGAGGGGCAGATCGCTTTTTATTCTTAAGCCCTTCCCGTCTCCTGACTGGTTTTCTCTTAATCACCTAAGCCTAGCAGTCAGGTTGTCCCTGGTAGAGGTTTTGAGAAATGCCTGCGTAATCCTTGGATTTCTGATCATCTCACTGAGTTTTCTGTCCTAACTGAAAAAAGGGGATCTCTACAAAAACACTCGCTGTTTTTCATAAGGTTGCCGCTACTTGGGCACACACGCACATGTTCTGTCATACCAGTTCATCAGGCAGGCTTTAGAATTTCTGCCATCCGTAATTCAGAGTTCAGTTTGTCGTTCAGCATGGTATTTCCATTGTGAAAGTCATCTGGGATATGACAAGGGCATATTTCCCACTATCTGAAAATCGTTGCATCCAAGACACATTATGCCAATTACTAATAATTCAAAACCAGTTAGAATGTGTTTATCAAGTCTTCAAAAGGGACTTTTTTTGGCATGTTCATCATTAGACTGGAAACACTGTTGCAGAGAAAAATATCGCCTTATCTACTTTAGGCACTAAAACTGGAAACTTAAGGTCATAGGTCGAAATGAGTTGTTGAATGCTAAAATGTTTTTAGTAATTTATCATTATTTGCGATAGTGCTATAGATGAAGATCGGATAACGAAGTCACAGTTTCAAAGATAAGAAATAGAGGTGCAGAGAAGGGGACAGTGACAAAGCTGTCTGAATGCTTAATTTTGAAGTGTGGGCACTGAAGGGTTAAATTGAGGAGGCTAGGGCCTGAAATGTAGACTTTTCTGCACCCTTCTCAATTAGCCTCAGTATTCCCAGCAAGTTTTTTTTTTAAAGATTTTATTTATTTATTTTTAAAAAAGATTTTATTTTTATTTATTTATTTGAGAGAGAGAGAGAGCACGAGCAGAGAGGAGAGGCAGAAGGAGAGGGAGAAGCAAGCTCCCTGCATTGTGGGGCTCGATCCCCGAACCCTGGGATCGTGACCTGAGCCCAAGGCAGACGCCTAACCAGCTAAGCCACCCAGGTGCCCTTCTGCCATTCCCAGCAGGTTTTTGGAAATAAAGAGATGCATCTGTAATATCATTCAGTATCTGTGATCAGTGCGGGGAGCAAGTCTTGGAACTTGCCTGACCTGAAGTAGCGCCCCAATAGGAAACCTCACACTGTACTTTCACCACTCAAATAAGCCCATGTTTGTGGAATGAGCCCATGTTTGTGGATTGGAAAAACAATCAACTTATTGGCCGTGAGTCAAGAGACCATCCTTAGAATATCGGATGTCTAGGGCAGAGACCACTGCAAAAAGCAAAACAAATTGAGGTGATAGAGAATTAGCAGCTGAATGGGGAATCCCTGACTAAGGTACTTGGAGCCATTGCTATACTGCAGAGAAAGGTAGGGTTCAGTAAGACGGGCTCAGTAAAACTCCCAAGTTCCTGATGAGGTCATTTCAGCCCAGAATTATCTGAGAAGTAACTCCACCATTGGTCTCTATGCCTAATGAACAGATTTGTCTTTGTGTTTCTTTACTGTGCATTTAAAGGTGAGAAAGCAAGTGTGTGTGTAGAGTGTGCCAATTTTTTCCCCTCATTTCTCCCTAGATTACCAATAAAAGCAAAGAGTCGACATGGGCCTTAATTCACAGTGTGAGTGATGCTTTTTCTGGCTGGTTGTTGATGCTACTTATTGGGCTTTTATCAGGTATGGTAAACTATGTTTATTTTCTTAAAAAATCTAAAATTTTGTGGTGTACCCTTCCTCAAATCATGAACTGAGTTGCGTGCTGTTTTTTTTCTGTTTTCCCACATGAAATAAATTGCTGGTGGACCTCGAGGAAGCTCAGTGTTCCCATCTGTAAAGGGATACTAATACTTGCTTCCCCTTCCTTAAAGAAATGCAGTTAAACGAGGAAATGTATCTAAATGCATTTATACACTATAAAATATTATATCCATTTTAAGGCGCTATTAGCACTGCCTTTCAGTGATTGTCGTGAGGAAGAGTTCTTCTAATAGAGACAATCAAAGTTTTTTGTGTTAAAAATTTTATTTATTTGAGACGGAGAGAGAGAGCATGAACAGGGGACGGGCAGAGGGAGAGGCAGACTCCCTGCTGAATATGGAGCCCCACGTTGGGGCTCCATCCCAGGACCCAGGGATCCTGACCCAAGCTGAAGTAGATGCTTAACCGACTGAGGCTCCCTCCCAGGTGTCCTGAGACAATCTGTTTTTCTTTTTCTTTTTTTTTTAAACACATACTACATATGGTTTCTTTTCCTTAACATTTATTTATTTTTTATTTTGTTTTTGCAGTGTTCCAAGATTCATTGTTTATGTATCATACCCAGTGCTACTACATGGGTTTCCTAGGAGGAGATAGAGAACTTCCTGGGAGCTTTTTGTAGCTATTCTTAAACATCTGCTCTCTCATTTGGTGGTGAAGAACATCAGAGAAGATAGGGCCCATACCCTCAAGAAACTTATAATGTCATTCTTCCATGCTGGCTGACAAGTGGGATGACCCTTCCTTTTCCTGTCATCTCCATCAACCTCCCAAGCCATGCCAAATAATGCACAGTCTAACTAGGAATAGTGCACTTGCTAAGCCCATACATCTTTAAAGCAAGCTCCCACGCAGTCTTCCCCTCCCACCGAGGAAGCAGAAAGCCAAGAATACCTGGGAGAGATGCTAAGGATTGTATCCTTATGGTAGTAAAAGTTGGAAGACCTGGAATACTGAGCTGAAAGAGAAGTTAGGTGGGAAACCTGGAGGTAGATGGGATAAAAAGACTTATTAGCATGGGCTCTTCTTTGCAGCACTTGAATCCCAGCCCCGCCGCTTACTAGTTTTGTGACTTTTGGCAAGTTTCTTAACTGTTGGCGGCTCTAGTTTACTGATCTGTAAAACGGGGCTAGCAGGAGTACCTGTAGTCCACATTTGCTGTGAGGACAGAGTAGTAGGTAGATGAGATGTAGCACACATAGTGCTCTGCACGGTGCCCACAGTTGTTAACAGCACTGTTGCTGCTGTTGCCTAGGGAAGATTACGAGCCACAGAGCATAAGATAATTGCTACACATGAAGAAAGGCTCAGCCATAACTGGGTTTTCAAAGATTACCTAGGGAAGGCGTCAGCAGTGTTTTTTGTTAAAGGACTGGATGGTCCCTGTAGTATGAAAGTAGCCATAGACAATAGGTAAAGAAATGAGCGTGGCTGAGACCAAGCAAAACTTCATTTACAAGCATGAAGGCGCATTTGACCCCTGGGCCATAGTTTGCCAACTGTGGTCTAGGGTGTTAATGCTACCCATTCTGGCCAGTTTAGAGGTGGCTGATGACGGACCGAGTGGTCTGTAATGCTAAGTATTGCAAAGAGGCTGAAGAGGAAGGAAGAGGGCTGAGAAAGGGTTATATAGCTGAGCAGTTAGTAGGATAGCAGTGACCTTGGAAAACTATCTCATAAATACTAGGAGTCAGATTTCAAGGCGAAGCAACCATTGTAGAGATTTCAGAGCTATTAGGTGCCCATTGGAAGGCAAGAAGGGCCAGAAGCTTGGGATGGTAATGAGGACAGGGGAAAGCATTTTGTTCTGTAGGACGGGAAACCTGATAAAAGTTGTAACCGAGGAAGGGGCTCATTAGGAAAGGAGAAATAGCAGGAAGAGGGAGGATAGGATTGAGGGTACTGGTGTTAGATAGAATAAGGATAGGCTCACGTGAAACAGCCGGAGAACAAGCCAAACTCTGTAACGCATGTGAATTTTCTGAGTCTGGGCAATCTGTGCAGTTAAGAGAAGGAAGAGAAGGTGGGCGTGGCCAAGAGGCGTCAAACAAGGTGTTAGATTTGACTAGGTTATTCAAGTATGTAAATAACTTCTGTTAACACTTTTAGCACCTACCCAAACATACACACGGCATGGCCTCCAGCCTGTTGGAATGTAGGCGTAATATCCTCAACTTTTTAATGTATTTCTTGTCACTAGGTGGCCAGTGAATGTTTTTCTTTTCCCTCGTATACACAGGGCATTTTGTTTTGAGACATCGCAGAGCAACAAGAAGCAGTGTGTCTGAATGTAGGAACAGTCTGGGAATTCAGGGGCTGTGAATTTTATGATGTCTTTGCTATTTCCCTAAAGCATGATTCTAGACCATTTCATTTCTTTATGTCAGAGTTTCTTCATCTGGACGACAGAAATGATGAGAAGGCCAGAATCAAAAGTACTGTAACGATCTTAACCCTACCAGGCTATTAACTGGAGCACATAATTCCCCATTCACTATTCATTTTCTCAGAATTGCCTTTGGTGGCTGCTCTGCACATAATATAGTTTGCTCCTGTTTCAATGAGAAAACTTCTGGATGGTCACGTCCAAGGCTCAGGAGGCTTCGACATGTCTGTAGCTTCATGCACTTGCCACGTGCATCACGGTCTGTGCTTTCTCAAATTTGCTTTTCTCAGCCTCGAATGCCTTCCTGCCCTGGCTCAGGTTCCCTTGTCCACGGAGCAGGATTGCTAACAAGGTTGAGCTCTCCTCTCCATGGTCTTCATCAGCTCCCTTACCCTAGCCTCAAACAAAGATCATGTAAGAGTCTTCAAGGAAGGCAGTTCACATTTTCTCAGTCTTACATAAATAGTGAGAACAAAATGATCTTTAATAAGCTTGACTGTCTTCGGGGTTCAGGATCCATCAGTTGTGAGGCAAAGCAGAGTCTTGGCCACGTAAATCAGTTAAAAGGCAAATCCACTCAGCCCTTGCTCCCTCCCAACCACTTTGCCCTCCCCCAGCTCTCCCTATGTAGAAATTCTACAGACATAGTATTCAGTGCAGTCAATGCTTTGTGGTATTTTCTCCCCTTTTTACCCCCTCTTGAATAGGTATTTAATGACAGGCAAAATCTCTTGGAGGTGATAGGTGGAAATCAAGCCGACAGAACATCAGAAAGAGGTTGCAGGGGGAGCCAGAAGGTTTATGGCTTGTCCATTATTTTGTCACCTTTTCCCTCATTTTCTCTTAATAACTTTGACCTCCCCTTCCCTCACCTCAAATCAGGTTCCTTAGCTGGCTTGATAGACATTTCTGCTCATTGGATGACAGACTTGAAAGAAGGCATATGCACAGACGGATTCTGGTTTAACCATGAGCACTGTTGCTGGAACTCCGACCACGTCACCTTCGAAGACAGAGACAAATGCCCAGAGTGGAACAGCTGGTCCCAGCTTATCATCAGCACGGATGAGGTACAGTGTTGTGAAGATTCCCGAACCGCTGTTATTCTTACACTGACTGAATTTCTTATACTATACTCATGGCACTTGTGGAATGTGCCGCTATTTTCCTCTTCATGGAAAGGGAAACCCGCTCCAGCTTCCTTTCTCTGTGGAGTAAGTGCGGCCCTATTTCCCTCACTTCTGCCACGTGGAATCCTTTGATGCTTTACATAGTGACTTAACGTTTTTGCTTCTTGTAAACAGTCCCGGTGTTTCTCCTTAGTTGTTAGTACGCAGTGTGATTGAATCTGCCCTTCTCTAATAATTTCGGTAAAGATGTCAGAGCCAGCCAACAGGGACACTATAATTTCTAACAAAAACAGAGTGGGTTAAAAATGTGTCTGTTGTATGCACTCCAAAAGTAATTTTCCCCTGAGCATTGCATTAGAACATTTAAAAAAAAATTAGAATACATTCCATAGGAAAAAAACAGAAACGCAGAAGTAAAATTGCCTGTAGTCTTCTTTGGAGATTAAATCAATATTTTCATTTGTTCTTGTCTCCCAGCAGATATTTTTCAATGTAAAAGTAACATTGTTTTTCAGTTCCTTCCCTTTCTATTACCACTTGGGCTGTTTGTTAGGTCTCTCCTACTAAAAACAAAAACACACAAGACAATATAACAGCTCTCAATTCCCAATTCCTTTCTGGCATCTACCAACCGAAACAGGTGCCATCTCAGCTCACTCCTCATTTACCCTGTTGGCGAAGTGACTGAGACTAGGCTAGGATCTATATTTATACATTTGAAATGCATTTTTATTCCTACTTCGGTCCACAGATGATTTGAAATGGGGCGTGTGGATGTGCAGGTGCACATGCACCCCCCCACACACACACACACAGTCAAGGGAAAAGAAGGATGGGAAAATAATAAAGTCAGAAATAAGAGTCTTTATGTACATAAATGACTGTACACATTGGCTCGGGGAAAGAGGTCAGTAAAAGGGTTGGATACATACCATATGTGTGAGAGGGTTTAGATCTATTCTTCTCAAACTGGGCTAAGGTTGGATGCCAGTGGGTGGCTGAAACCGCAGGATAAATGCTGTGTGCCATCTCAGAAAATCAGGGGTTTTTTTGAATATTTTTTTAAATTACATTGAATTACAAAGGGATGCACAATTCCCATGTTTATTAAGATAACACAATCTCTGTTTTAGCTCTGCTCCTGCGTAACCTACCCCCTACCCTCTCTCCTAGATTAGGAGTACTGGAGTTTAGGGTGAACGTGTGTGTGTGTGTGTGTGTGTGTGAGAGAGAGAGAGAGAGAGAGAGAGAGAGAGAGACGGAGGGAGGGAGATTCCCTTGCCCTTTTTAAAATTCTTTTATTTACTTATTTATTTTAAAGATTTTATTTATTTATTTGACAGAGAGAGAGATCACAAGTAGGCAGAGAGAGAGGAAGAAGCAGGCTCCCTGCTGAGCAGAGAGCCCGATATGGGGCTTGATCCCAGCACCCTGGGATCATGACCTGAGCCAAAGGCAGAGGCTTTTACCCACTGAGCCACCCAGGTGCCCCTTTATTCTTTTATTTTTGAAGTACTTATAGATTCACAAAAAGTTGCAAAACAAGGGAGGTCTCCCATACCCTTCACCCAGGTGTTCCCCAGTGGTAATATCTTCTCTGACTAGAGAATAAGTAGCAAGACAAGGATATGATCCACAGATTTTATTTCACCAATTTTACGTGCATAGATATGTGTGTATGTATACCTGTGTATGTGTGTATGTAATTCTCTGCAATTTTACTGCCTGTGTAGATTTGTGTTATCACCACTACAGTCAAGGTCTAGAACTGTTGTTCATCCCGGCAAGGCTCTGCCGTGCTACCCCGTGTGTGTGTGTGTGTGTGTGTGTGTGTGTGTGTGTGTGTTTAAATAGTCCAACTGTAGCTCTCAAACGGGAGCTTGAGATTTGCTCAAGTGACCTATTTCTCTGGTCATCCTTTTTTTAATGAATGAAATCCTTGCCTGGAGAGAGTTCTAGATTCTAAGAGTTCTCCAGCCAAGTACTTAGCCTCCAGGTTTGTGCCCCTAGCCACTTCTACCTACTTGCCTTTTCACTCCCCCTCCCTCTTTGTTTCCCCCCTTTGGAAAGTCTTCTTCCTCCCTAGCTACATTTGAAAGGCCAAGAGAGCAATTATCTATTCCTCTGAGGGACTAAAATAATGGAAAACTTGTGTCAAAGCTATAACTTAGGAGGGGAAAAAAAAAAACAACCTTGAGCAGTTTGGCTCTCCTTGTCTAGGTCAGTGAATTATTTTAATAATGTTTTATGTTTTAAGAAGTCAGAAGTACAGTGAGTTTTGTGTTTCATGTAATTTGAGTGAGTTTCAACTTCTACAGTTTTTATCAGTAAGTATGATCTCCTGATGTTCAAAATAGCTTTTTTTGGCCGGTGGGTTGGGTGGGGGGGGAGATGTAACTGTTTGCCAGCCCTTTATGTTGGTGACTCCTTATTACTGGTCAAAATTAGATTTATTTTCTGGCAGACTTCATTAGCATAGGAGGACAGTCTCAAAAGTATATTCACTCCATTTTAAAAAGAGGGGTTGCTGTTTTATTTTTTGGGAGAGCTGGCATCTTGGTGGTGGTGTTTTATGGTCAGAGCCTGAAACTTTCTGCTCACATCTACTTGTTGCTGAGTCTGTGATAGCCGAATTCTCTCAAAGAGAGAATTCTCTCTGCAGAACTTAATTAACTGTGTATTTTAAGGAAACCGCTCAGGAATTTTCGACACTATAACCTCCCATGAGAATCTGACACCAAGGTAGGTAGAGCTGGTCTTCACTTCAAATGTGTAGCCAATAACAGAGCTGTCAGGATTCTTAATAAAATTGACATAAAATGAGACCTACTTGACCCCCAAACCTGCCAGAGGTCTCATGTTGAACCTGAGTTTGCTTAGGGTTCTGTCTGTTCTTCCTTCTTGTCGATCCTCAGCAGCTGGCGTCCGTTTCCTTGGGAGGGAGCAAAGCCTCGCATTTTCGCTTCCAAGTGGGCTGACAGTGTTTCAGGGGTTGCCTTGCTGCCCGTCTTGGAAGGAACGTTTTGAGCGATGTGATACCGGTCTTTTTCCTCCCGAGCCCCTCTCCCGAAACCCTTTTCGTCAGCAGTGCTCCGTGCCTCACTGAGGCAGCCTGGACTAAAACAAGCTTCTTCCTTTTTTCCCCTGTTCTAGGGAGCCTTTGCCTACATAGTCAATTATTTCATGTATGTCCTCTGGGCTCTCCTATTTGCCTTCCTCGCCGTGTCTCTTGTCAAAGTGTTTGCACCTTATGCCTGTGGCTCCGGAATTCCTGAGGTGAGTCTCTCAAACGGTTTATAAACGGTTAACAGTAGTGAATCCTTCCTGGTGAAGAGCCTTTAATAGGTATTCCAGCATATCCTGCAATTCGAATCTGAAACAGGATCAGACCCTGAGGAAATCTGGAGTTTCTCTAGGTCTTCCCTCAAGTCTCCCAGCCTGGGCCACCTGGACACGAAAGGGGGTGGGTTCCTAGCCCCCTTGCGGGTTCCTGGGGAATCAGGCCTCTTGAAAGCCAACCCCTGCTCCCTACCCAAGGAGATCAAGGGTAGACCCCAGGCTTCTGGCCTGAAAAAGTACTGGCATTGTCAACTTTGTTTGAGCAGGAGAAATAAAACTATTTTGCTACATTTCCTATAGTATGACTAGGGCTAGAAGGTTGGGGAGGGGTGGCTGAAGTCCTGTTCCCTACTACTTTTGGCTTAGATTGCTTGACAGTGACCGAAACCACTGAGATTTGAGGTTACCCAGATGACCTTGCCCCTCTCTGTTTCCTGACCAAGTCATAGTTACAAATTTCTTTGGCAGAGAATCAAGGCTCTACTGGCCTGTAAGGATGTAAGTAAGGAAAACACCCTCCCACTCTGCCTCCCCTTCTCCAAATACACACACTCTCATGCTTGCAGTACTCTCTTGCCCAGCTAGCACATGGCTGGGGGGCGGGGGAAAGGAACTTGAAAGCTTAAAGAACAGTTCTTGCTTTCTTGGACTCCCAGGCTCCCTCCCAAATTGGGGTCATGTAGGTCAAACATTTATATGTCACTTGTTTGAAAGGTGCAGTTTCCATAATGAGGTCCAGATTATTGCTTCCCAGCCTTGTTTACTTGCCTAGTCTATATTTAATCTCTCTGTGTTTGACCTGCAGATAAAAACTATCTTGAGCGGTTTTATTATTAGGGGCTATTTGGGTAAGTGGACCCTGATTATCAAAACCATCACATTGGTGCTGGCCGTGTCATCTGGCTTGAGCCTGGGCAAAGAGGGCCCCCTAGTGCACGTGGCTTGCTGCTGTGGGAACATCCTGTGCCATTGTTTCAACAAATATAGGAAGAATGAAGCCAAGCGCAGAGAGGTAATTAACAGATGGCCTGAGTTGTCTCTTTTTTGGTGAGCATAAATGGTCCGATCTTAGGGATGAGGATTTAGGGACTCTACCAATATCAGCACAAATACCCTGTGACCCGGTTGTTCCACTTCTAGGAATTTATCCTACAGACACCCCAAGTGTGTGTGGGAACCAAGGTATGTGTGTGGGGCTAGTCGGTGCAGCATTTGTCGATATCGTGGTAAAACCAAATAGTCACAACGTCCATCAACGGGACCGATCAAATAAACGATATTCTGGTCATACTGTAGAATACTAGGCAGTCGTTAAAAAGGATAGCCTTATGTATGTTGATGTGGATTGATGGCTATAGAAGATCATTAAGTTTCAGAAGCCAATTGTGGAATAACACGTGTATAAAATAATTCAAGTACTGTTTTTTTTTAAAAGTATGTATATGCGCACCTAGAAAGAAAACGTCTGGAAAGTAGTTTTACTCCAAACTGTTGAAAATGTCCACTGGTGGTGACATTTCCCCACTCACGGTGGTGAGCGGGAAGGTGAGGTGGTAGTGAGGGAGAAGTAAGGACTTTAAGAACTTCTAGTACATATAACTCTACACAAATTGTGCTGTTTTATTACAGAATAAGTTACAAAAACAAGAGATTTTTTAAAAGAAGTCATTTTTTTTCCTGTGAAAGAATATAAGCCCCGCATATGTTTCAGATACCAGCTTTTCCATCTTTTATTTCTACCTAATGCCACGCTAAATGAGTTTCTCCATGTATAGGATCTCTCTCTGCCTTCTGCCTCCATCCGGCTAAATTAGTCCTGCCACAGAGTCTCCATAGCTGTTCTCATGTTCATGCAGTTCTTAATGTATATCGTTTTGCGGAGGAAGAACAGATTTTAGAAATGTTCCACATCATTGGTTACTTTTATCCTGCTATAATTAAGGATTTAAGGAAATAATGGTTCTTGCTCTGTTTTCTTTGAATTACACAGAAATCACATACGAAATGGGTCAAGGCCAACGTCATTTTATTAGAATGGATTTTTCACAAAATCGCAACCTAGTGATTTATTTGGAAAACAAAACGAAGCAAAACAAACCATAAGGCCCAGAAGGAAACTCAGAGATGTTGAAATTTCAAATATGGAATACATTTAGATAGTTCAAGGGGGAAAGTTCCTGGCAGGAGAGGAAGGCTAGCAGGAAAGGGAGAGGGAAATCTGAGTCAATTGTTTAGCTCCCGTCAGATGGTAGCGGGGCATAACGGCAGTGTGAAACTGGTATGGTTGTTAGATGGGAATAATGGACAACAGAAGCCGAAGAGGTGAAATCCGTTTGAGCTGGCAGGAGGAGAGTGTTATTCTTGCTGGTTTTGCATGGGTCGGGGTGACTTTGAAACTATAGAGGGCCGGTTACTGTCATGCCATAAAACTGGCATTTTTGTTCACAGTTCCTTATAAAATGAGAGGGGAGTTCTGGACTGTTTCTCTGTATAGATGTCATGTATTTCTCTAACTAGACTCATGACTATTTGCATCTTGAGTTCACTTCCTATTGTTTATTTAGACTTTCTAGTTATTTTTTCCTGTCCTTCTCACCATCAGCCGCAACCCTTTTGTGTCCCAGGGCCTTGTCAAAGTGGGCAGATGGTGGAGATTACAGATTTGAGAAGGAAGGGCATGGACAGACTCCACTCTGTCAGCAAAAACTTGAAGCAAACTAGCCATCATGATTCTTTTTTTTTTTCCTCATAATTCATCCTGAAAAGTCATTGAAATCCGCCTGTTTGTCCTCATCCTTTTAGGATGAAAGCCAATTTATAGGCACGAATTTTGAAGTCCTACCTGGCTAGCCCCAAAGACCTCACTCCTTCCTTCCCTTCATTTTCCTGCACCTTCCTGCATTCCCAGGGAAAGCTGCCTGTTTATTTTGCCAAGAACCATTTTATTCTGCAGAAACTCTTAATTTTTATTAAACTTTTTTCTAAAAGTTTCCTTACTACCACAAATCACTTATCACTCCACAGCAACCAGAATCCAGTGAAAGGACTTTATCCTTCCATTAATTCTGGTGTGTTGGTTACACATTTTCCATGCGCATGAGTGTGCCTATGTACTGAGGTAGAGCTAAGTATCACTTGCTCTCTTTCTCTCCTTCCTTTTATTTTTTTATTTCCCTCTGACAGCTTCTTCCCCTTCCTCTTCCTCTCCCACCTAGCCCTTTTCCTGGCCTCAGTGAAATACACTTAGGTCTTCTTTTCAAAATCTATCCCCTGCTTCTCCTTGCTTCTAGTTTGCTCCCTATTTCTGTTTCCACTGGTCACTGGGGATGGAGTAGGGCACTGAGTACAGGAAACCCCAACTGCCTATTGTCTGAAGATTTGCAGCTCCCGAATGGCTGTGAGCCAGTTGTTACTTCGGTTTTATATCATTACAGCCGTCTCTAAAATCTTATTTAGAAAAGCATTCCTTAATAAAGAAAGCACTATGTAAATATGTCACTGAAAATACTTCATTTAGGTGGTTAATAGACCTACAGACTCAAAATCAGTTAATGAATTGAGAGTACCGGAAGGGAGGGGAATGATTCGGAATAAAGTCCATGCCTGGATTCATTACAGAGGAAAGACCCTCTACCTGTTCGAGCATTAGATCCATGTGTTTGAAATGTAGCCCGCAGCGTTTGCTCTCCAAATCAGTAAATATGAATTGAACTTCATTTTTGATCTATTGGATATGGAGCATGTATAGTTGTTTTTTTTTAATGTTTACTAAACACTAACATTCCCTTTTAAAAATGTGATCGTCGGTAGAAAGGTGTCATTATTCCAAGACTAATTCTGAGTTTTGGATTGTAGGTCTTGTCGGCTGCAGCAGCAGCAGGCGTATCTGTAGCCTTTGGGGCACCTATCGGCGGAGTGTTATTCAGCCTAGAAGAGGTAACTACTTTTATCTGTCTGTAGAATATGTGTGTTGCTTTCATGTCAGGAATTCTGGCTGGTGTCTGTGGGACATTTAGACCGGAGGTGCTCCGCCCAGCTCACATGTTACCATTTACTGTGTGACCAGAACTCTCTGGGTAGTTCTCTTGTCCTCAGCTCTCCTTCCTACAGCACTAACTGTTCATCTGAAACTGTTCTTTTTTTTTTTTAAAGATTTTATTATTTATTTGAGACAGAGAGACAGAGAGAGAGCATGACAGTGGGGAGGGTCAGAGGGAGAAGCAGGCTCCCCACTGAGCAGGGAGCCTGATGCGGGACTTGATCCAGGGACCTGAGCTGAAGGCAGACGACCAACTGACTGAGCCACCCAGACACCCCATACCTGAAACTTTCTGCGTCCTGGTTTATGTTTGCTTTCTCACCCTCTTTCTTCTAGGTCAGCTACTATTTCCCCCTCAAAACGCTGTGGCGCTCATTCTTTGCTGCCTTGGTGGCAGCATTTACTCTACGTTCCATCAATCCCTTTGGCAACAGCCGCCTGGTTCTATTTTATGTGGAGTTTCACACCCCCTGGCATCTCTTTGAGCTTGTGCCCTTCATTCTGCTGGGCATATTTGGTGGTCTGTGGGGAGCTTTGTTTATCCGCACCAACATTGCCTGGTGTCGGAAGCGTAAGACCACTCAGCTGGGGAAGTATCCTGTTGTAGAGGTACTCGTTGTGACAGCCATCACTGCCATCCTGGCTTTCCCCAATGAATACACCCGCATGAGCACAAGTGAGCTCATTTCTGAGCTATTCAATGACTGTGGACTTCTGGACTCCTCCAAGCTCTGTGATTATGAGAACCGTTTCAACACAAGCAAGGGGGGTGAGCTGCCCGACAGACCGGCTGGTGTGGGAGTCTACAGTGCCATGTGGCAGCTGGCCTTGACACTCATACTGAAAATTGTCATCACTATATTCACCTTTGGCATGAAGGTGAGGAGATTCTTTTGCTACTCAGTGGGTAGATGTGTGGCTATGGGTTTGGGGGGCAAAGCCAAGACATCATACAGTCTTCAAAGCTCATGTGGCACTTCTGGCTTCTGGCAGCATTATCCCCCCACCTCAGAAGGCCCCCGCCAACATGTCCTCAACTTCCTAGACAGTAGCACCTCTACCTAACATCATCCAAGCTGACTTTCAGGCCTCATGCAGACCTCAGTGATGAGATTTAAGAAGAAATGTTTTCTCCTTTCTGGTGAAAAACAGATTTTGCCCCTAGAAGAGGGGTGGTGAGGTATTTGTTCACGTGCCTATTGTATTAAAGCAATATCTGACCACCACATCTGTGGTCCTTATAGGGTGGCTTTAGAGTTTGCCAACAGAGCAAAACATCAAATTGAATCAAACGAAGTAGCCGTTATTCAACCGTTTTGACCACTACAATGGCAGTGTCCCATGGTTCGGCCCAGTGGCGCTAAATGTATTCTTTACCGTCGTTATCAATGTCCAAGGATCAGAAACTTCACAGGTGATCCCAAGTTAATATGGCAACTGTCAAAAGCAGACATCAGGCCAGCATCTTTTATTTTTAGTACCTGTTATCATTGCCATGTTTCAGAAGAAATCAGAAAGGAACATTTGTTAAGGTATTTTCTTTCTCCTCCCTAGGTTATTTGTTTGTCTTTCCTCTGGCACCCAACTACCAAGTCAGTTCTCTCTCTTCTCTAGGGAAACAGAAGCTCAAACTGGGAAAGAAGATGTCGCAGCATTATAGTCTCTGAGTTGATATGTGTCCTCCTCTACACTCCAGAAGGTTTTACAGTGCTTCTTGAGTGATTTCTTTTTCCCTGTCATGGCTTTATTCTTTGATTTAAAGTGCTCATGTTCAGACCATCCAACCCACCCAGATTCAAATGTATTTCACAATTGAACACAGGCTATTTAAAAATAATCTGCTGTTTCATTTTGTCCTTGGCATCATTTCTCTCCCTTCGCACAGAACATTGAGAATTCACTGTAGATATCCTAAGAGTCAGGAAAATAGAGGGGGAGACAGCCGAGAGGGTCTTTTGGTGGGAGTGGCGGTGTGGTTGTTGTGTTTTGTTTTGTTTGGATACTCACACAACCACAGTTACTGCTGCATTAAAAAAATGTAATCATTTCATTTTTCTTTATACTATTACAAAATAAAATGTGACCTCGTATACAATCCTTTTAATGTGACTAGTGGGTTAAGATTCAGTACACGGGAGTGGTTAGGAACACCGATTGTGTTTCATCCCTGGCGCTGGTATCTACTGCAACTTGACCTTGGGTGAGTTGCTTCACCTCCCTGAACCTTGAGTTCTTTGTGATTGGGTAATCATGATGCCTGTCTCCCCGGGGTGGTTGTCTAGAACTGGGGGAATCCTGTCAGTTGAGTATCCAGCATAGAACATGGTAGGTGGTCAATAGAGGGGAATTTTTGTTGCTGAGAATTCAGAATGGGGAAAATGTCTGCATATGTGAGAAATTCCATCTATTTTCCTTTTTCTTTGGGAAAGGCTTAATTTCTGCCCTCCAGTTCTATGTTGGTCTGGAGAGTTCAGGCTCTTGCCAGATGGACCCCCAAATCAGGGTAAGCTTCTTTGCAGTCTTACTTGCCTGCACGTCCCAGAGAACCTCTAGCCCATGTAGCGTTACACACGTCTTTATGGCCACTTGCTAGCATAGTGCATAGTTAAGTTGGCATTGGCCTGTTCGCTTCGCAGAGGGTCAGTCCTCTAGCCCTTACTGTATGCCAGGCGAGTGCATCATTCCTCCCTAAGCACCTGTTGCTTTCTCTTTGCAGATCCCTTCTGGCCTGTTTATCCCCAGCATGGCTGTTGGTGCTATAGCAGGTCGACTTTTAGGAGTGGGAATGGAGCAGCTGGCTTATTACCACCACGACTGGGCCATCTTCAATAGCTGGTGTAGTCAGGGAGCGGATTGTATCACTCCAGGCCTTTATGCGATGGTTGGGGCTGCAGCCTGCTTAGGTGAGTAGTATCTGCATTGACCTTGAAGAAGTTGCCACCCAGGTGACGTAATAAAGAAGCATGATATGAAACACGGTTCACTGCAGATTTTTTTTTTATGACCATTTCCTGTTGGGTTTGCCATTTTTTCAAGTGCTTTAAGGAAGTATTCTTTATCATATAGCTATTTTCCTCCCTTTGGGGAGCAATGTTACTCTCAAATTTCATCATACTAAGGAAATGATCAGAAACTTAGAGAAGGATATCTGTTCAAGAATGTTCATTGCAGGATTATCTATGATAGCAAGAAGTTGGAATCAACTTAAATATGTACAGGAAGGGACTGGTTAAGTGGATTATGGTCCATATAACCGGGTAATATTATATACTATGTATCTGTTTGGGGCATCTAGGTGGCTCAGTGGGTTAAGCCTCTGCCTTCGGCTCAGGTCATGATCTCAGGGTCCTGGGATCGAGCCCCGCCTCAGGCTCTCTGCTCAGCGGGGAGCCAGCTTCCCTATCTCTCTGCCTGCCTCTCTGCCTACTTACGATTTCTCTCTCCGTCAAATAAATAAATAAAATCTTTACTATGTAGCTATTAAATGTGATCCTAATATTTAATATTTTTAATATAACATTAAATAAATTTGTGTTAATACACAAGATGTTCCTGACATAAAGTGGGGGGCGGCATGGTGGGGATTTAAATGTGTAATATGAGCTCACTTACATAAAAACATGTATTTTTACATCATGAAAAACTTGCAGAAGTCATTCAGAATTTTTACTCAGCTTATTTTAGGGAGTGAGCTTATGGATAATGACTTTCTTTTATAGACTTTCTTTTTTTTTAAAGATTTTACGTATTTATTTTGAGAAAGTGAGAGGGAGAGCACAAGCCAGGTGGGGCGAAAGGCAGAGGGAGAAGCAAGCTCCCTGCTGATCAGGGAGCCCAACTGAGGGCTCGATCCCAGGACCCTGGGATCATGACCTGAATCAAAGGCAGACGCTTAACCGACTGAGCCACCGAGGCGCCCCATCTTCTATTGACTTTAAAAAAGTGTTTTCTGACTTTTCCACAAGAGCCTGTATGTTCCAGAGAACCTCTCCTCTCAGTACTGTTACACAAATTGTGGATATCTTTTGCAATGACCTTTATAATTGGGGGGAGAAAGCAGTGCACAAATAAGAAACAAAAGGAGAAAAATGTAGAAGGCCTCTCGCACGTTTGTAGATGTTATTTTGAGAAATGTAACTCGTGTCCATTATAAACTTGCTTTAATGCAGTTGCAGTTAATAGGGGAGACCTCCTTTTAGCAGTGTTTCTGGCAAGTAAGCTGTCCCTGGATGGGGGTCTGTCACAGGCCCTTACCTGGCATGAATGAACTGTTCCTGTTTTCAGTGGCCCACGTCTGTTTCTTTGCAGGTGGGGTGACGCGGATGACCGTTTCTCTCGTTGTCATAATGTTCGAACTAACTGGGGGCTTGGAGTACATTGTGCCTCTGATGGCTGCAGCCATGACAAGCAAGTGGGTGGCAGACGCTCTTGGGCGGGAAGGCATCTATGATGCCCACATTCGTCTCAACGGTTACCCCTTTCTTGAAGCCAAAGAGGAGTTTGCCCATAAGACCCTGGCAATGGATGTGATGAAACCCCGGAGAAATGATCCTTTATTGACTGTCCTTACTCAGGACAGTATGACTGTGGAAGATGTAGAGACTGTCATCAGTGAAACCACTTACAGTGGCTTCCCAGTGGTGGTGTCCCGGGAGTCCCAAAGACTTGTGGGTTTTGTTCTCCGAAGGGATCTCATTATTTCAATTGGTAAGGATTTCAGAAAGAGGATCATGAGATCCACGGTGGAAATAAATAAATACATGCCCAAAGGGTGGGGAGACAGAGGGAGGATGGGATGAATTAGGGGCCATCAAGATAGAAGGAGCACCTCCATTTTCAACATTTTCCCCCCCCTACTTCTCAAATAGAAAATGCACGGAAGAAACAGGATGGGGTTGTGAGCACGTCCATCATTTATTTCACCGAGCATTCTCCTCCCATGCCGCCATACACCCCGCCCACCCTGAAGCTGCGGAACATCCTGGATCTCAGCCCCTTCACTGTGACTGACCTCACCCCCATGGAGATTGTCGTGGACATCTTCCGCAAGCTGGGACTGCGGCAGTGCCTGGTTACGCACAACGGGTGAGAGCTCCCTGGGGGAGGCACATTGGATTGTGGGAGGAAGGAGACTGTAGAGAGAGAAAGAGAGAAGAACCCAATTCATTTGACCCTCAGTAGCACTTACAGGCCCTCCTGAAGCTCCGCGACGAAGATGGATGTGTTTCTTTTATCATCATCATGAATGGAAAAGGGGTTTGGGGGAAAATGTGTGTTTGAGAGATGGGAACTCCTGGCTGCACATTATAATGTAGTCTCTGCCCCGCAAAGGAAACGGCTGTGTCCTTTTGAACAGACAGCACTGAAGTTATGATGGTATTAGGTAGTATATGTATATATAGTATTTGGTCCTTAGAATACCTTTATTTTTATTATTTGAAGATGAGAGAAGCAAGTTTCTGTGAGGTTTGAAGATTTGCACAAGGGCCCCCTGTTAATACACAGTAAAGAGGTACAAGTCTTTTGACTCTCAAGACCAAGGCTCGGTCTTTCTGGGACATTTCCTTATTATTTTTTAATTAAAAAACTTTTTTTTCAGTCCCCCCCCCCCGGGACATTTGTCATGCAGTAAAGGAAGCCCTGCTATGTCTATTGGAAAACAAGGGAGGTGGAGGAGGAGGGTGGACTTTTTTTTCTAAGCATGCTATGTTAATCCAGCAATTATGTAAGAATTTCACTCTGTACGATTTCTAAATGTTGTAACAGATGTCTTGCAGGATTTGAATCAGCAAGGGGATTTTCCCTAACTGATTCATTCAACACTTACTGAATCCCCTATTTCATGCAAGAAGGTATTCCGCTAGATGCCAAGGAGACACAAAAAAGGTCCTTCTCCCCCCTCAAGGAGTGTGCGATGTCCTAGGGAATCTGAGAATACATGAACCCGTATCACATGACAGCAGATGGGACAAGGGCATAGGTCAGGCCGTTGCTGCCACGAGGATGCAGGCATTGCCATCCTGCAGGATCAGGGAGGCATTCTGGAAGAGGAGCGCCTGAACCGGGTGGCAAACGAGAAGATTCAGATATGTAGGGAATATTTAAGCCACAAGAGGTAGCAGGATTTGAGACCGGAAGTAGAAATGCTGGCAGCCTGTCTGGGGACCCGTGCGCAGTCCCGTTTGCCAGGCACGTGTAACCTAGTCCTGTGAGTGCCTCAGGCTGTAAGCCCGGACGGTGTTGAAGACAGAGTTGCAAAGGACTTGGGGTGGAAGGGTGTCACCTCAGAGAATGTTAACCCCCGATTTATTTTTGTTTTGTTGTCTCGTTTTGTCTTGCAGGCGGTTGCTCGGAATCATTACCAAAAAGGATGTGTTAAAGCATATAGCACAGATGGCGAACCAAGATCCTGACTCCATTCTCTTCAACTAGAATCACAGGGTTGTGCTGGATATAAAACAGGAAGGACATTGCAGACCATGGATATATTTTGTTAACTGGGTACCCAAAACACATTTCCCGTATTTGGAGGGTGAAGTTATATTATTAGTGTGTTGTCCCTTTCCTCTAAGTTAACCAGTTGCACTACATAATCTCTGGAATTTAATCTTCTCTTTAGGAGAAAATACAGTTAGGCTTCTGTGATATTGCATTAGGAAGATTTATGAAAGAGTCAACGAGATTGCTCTGGTTTCATTCTTTTTATTTTTTTTTAAATTTAAAACACAATTGTTAGCCAATATGCAATCACTGAAAACTATGCAAGAAAAATTCCAACCGTCCTGACCTATAGCCTGCAGGAAACTCATGAAAAAGTCACTTTTTTTGGACTCTAACTGTCGTTGGTGGAAGATGAAGTGTAAGCTAAGGGGCTTTGCTTTTCCAACCACAGAAAGGAAAGCCAGAAGGAAAATAGTAATGGTGTTTTCCAGACTGTGAAAATTCAGTTCAAATGTTATCTTGTTCCTGTTACACTATTTAGCATTATTAGTTTGTGTGTGTGTATGTGTACGTTAATTTTAATATCTGATTATAAGACAATGCTGCTTTGGTTAACCTTCTCTAAACGAATTTAGAGAGGTTGACTTTTATAGCTTGCTTGTTCCTGGTACTCTTTTGAAATGCACAAAGATAAGTCATGGAACTTTCTCCTTGTCTGCAAAAAGGGTAATTTTCCTGATGGTATCTGTTAGCCAGTAGACAAGGACTTCGTCATGAATTTGTTAGTAGCAAGGAATGATTTCTTCAGCTTCCTTGGAATGAATGATTAGTAAAGTTCTAAGCAAAATCAATGACTAGGAATTTCACATTTTCTTGTGAGGTCCCGACTCATTCTCTTAGCCAGATGCCGCCTCCATGAGTGATGGTGCTTTAGGCTTCTGGAATATGTAAGAGTAGTAAAGGGAATCACTTCGAGACTGCGTACTGATAAACCGGGGAAGATCCCGAGCTAAATCTGCATACTCATGCATTCCTTTGTGAAGACCACCAGTACTAAAATAGCTGGGGGCTCATGCCTCCTCCCAGTGTTAAGTACATATAACAGGCCAGTGTTGTCCCTGTGAACATGAATTTAGGCTTGGGGTACATTCAAATATATTTGAGGCATTGGAATTAGGATAGGCAGCTGCGACTCCCTTGAGGCTCCTTAGAATTCTAAGTAAAACGCAGAGCTATCCTAAGACCCAGGGGTGTGGACAAGGCCTGGTGACACCAAAGGTGCTTGTTTATCCAATTGCAAAGGTGCCTGTCTCAATTTTCTACCACCTTTACTGCAGTAGAAAACATCACACTGTAGGGATACCTGGTGGAATCACAGAGCCACCACCATCGCCATCATTCCGACCGACGCCTGGTTTCATTTTCTGTTGTTTCCCCCATGTGCAGCTGTCCCCGCTACCAACCTTGTGTTCCCCTCCATTCTTTTCCCCTACCACTCCTCAGTCCCCAGTCCTCTCTTTGGTATTGGGCGCCATGCCTGGTTAATCATTCCTCTCTCAAGAAAGAACTCCCAGGGATAGTTAAATTGTAAACTGGGGCTCAGCAACCTTCTGGCATGGGGACCCGAGGTAGTGCACAGCCGTCTGCTTTGCTCTCTAGCGCAGTTGCTGCCGCCATGCCTCCCTCCCTCTTTGTGCCGATGGCCAGGGCCCGCAGCAGCGGGACTCAACTGCCAGGGCTGTGAGTTCAGCCTTTCCTGTTCTGCAGGTCCGTCCCCCACACTGTGCGCCATCCTCCCAGCCTAGAACCAGCAGTCACTCAGCGCAGCCTCCCCTTCCTTCCACCTCCCCTCCCCCAACACCTCAGCGTTCCTCATTTTAAAAGTTGCTGAGCCCTGAATCTAGGATTTTTTTTTCTTACCCTTAGTTCTTTCCAAAATCTGAAATTCTTTTATTTCCCAGACCTGGGTAGCTAAGGCTTGTATTGATTTTTATCTTTCAGCTATCAAAGCACTCACCAGAGTTTTGCTTCGTTTTTCTTTTTTTTAAAGTATATCATGCTAACATTTTAGAGAAAGAGAAAAAAACTCTTTAGGTTATCTTTGTTATAGTCATGACTTAGTCACTTTATGTCTTCTGTCCCTTCCATGCCACTGATTTCCTCATCTGAGATGAGGCCGTGGGCTAAAACCGCCCCTGTGTATTGTGCAGAAGTCATTCTTATCTGTATATTTCTGGTTCACTACCTATCTTTTCTTATTAGCTGTCCAGCTGAAGTTTGCAAAACAGGAAACATTAGTATTTCTGGTATTTGATGAGACAAAGGTTTGGTCGCATTTCATAGTGCAGCAGTGCTATGGAGGACGTCTGAGTTTGCCTTTGTGTTTCTTCTAGGGTCTGTTTTTGATTTCAGACAGATGAGCCAGTGTTAAGGTGCTACTTCAGAGAACTAATTTGAGAAATCAGATAACACTGTGCCAAGGTATACTTTCTAGATGCTAAGCACCGATTGGCCCTCCAGAGAATAATATCCTTTTGATACCTCACTCCTGATAAATCTCATTCGTTAACCTCAGCTTCTCAGGAATCCTTGTAACACGTAGGCTAGAAGTAGCTATAGTGTATAGTATTCATTATATGTCCAGTCCTATGGTTTGGCTCAAAGGTTGGCTAATTGTGGCTAGAGCTCTCTGCTAGACTGTTAGCTCTGCACCTAACACTCAAGGGTTTCTTGTCCTCAGGCAAAGGAAAATGCTTTCTGCCATTGCAAAGTCAGCAGTTGGACCGACTTAACCAACAAACAAAGCTGATACAGGGAGGCCTCTCTGTAGCCTCAACTGGCCACATACCTCAATGGCAAAAGACTAGATGATCTGTGATTTAAAAATTAATTTGAGTTGAGATGAGTGTGTTTGGGCATAAAGAAAAGAAAATTGCCCAACACAAGGGAAGGCTCTACAAAGGAATGCCAGTAAGTGCTTTGGGGGAGAGGATTTTCCAAGGAGAAAGATCTGGGAGACATCCAGTCATGAAAAGAATGGGGTTGGTAGGTTTGTAGAAGTCTAGCTGCTACACTTTGTAGAGTCAGATCTTCAGTGTAAAGAATCACAGAGGCCAAAACCGTTTATGCATGGTTAGACCACTGGAAGCGGGAAGCAAGGGACCGAAAATGCAAACTAATGGCCACTTTCAAGGTCATTTCTATTCGGATGTTTGTTCAGACGCTCTCCTCTTTTCTGGCCCCAGCTTCCTTCTGGCTTGGGCCAGCTGTGGAATAGAGGTGGTATAATCCACAGAATTGATATCCTCTGGTGGATAATCTGACATTGATGACACTTCGGATTTGCCAGCTGGCAGAGCAGACGATTAATTTGCTGATTGAACAGCAAAGCAGCTCAGTTGTTTTGGCATCAGAGGCTGAATCTGAAGCCCTTACCAGAAGAGCAGAGCACAACAGAAATTCCTGTAGCAAGTCTCCATTTCCGTTGGAACGTGAGAAAGATAAAGTAATGGGGATTTAGTGTGGTCTAAGACTGTGAAGTAATTCTTACCCATCATCTTTTTTTTTAAAGGTGGGGAGGGGCTGAGGGAGAGGGGGAGAGAGAGAAAGAGAATCTTAAGCAGGCCCCATGCCTAGCCTTGAGCCCGACGCAGGGCTCAATCTCAAAACCCCTTACAACCCTGAGATCGTGACCTGAGCTGAAATCAAGAGTCGGACGATTAACCGACTGAGCCACCCAGGCGCGCCTTAACCATGATGTTAGGAACTCATTCAGGTGTGGGGGGAGCAAATATAAAAACTTGTCATGCAGCAGAGTCCATCATGCAGAGTAATCGAGCATGTTATACATTTTAAGTATTTGCATCGCCTGTCCTGGTTGGGTCTCTATCTTGGTTTGTTTTGCGAGGTGATGAGGAGGACGGTGAACTTGTTTATCCTGCAGTATCTTTTTTTTTTTTTTGTAAATCATGAGGAGTGCAATTTTTGAAGTTGAGTTTTTAATGATGATAGTGAAGACAGTATTGAGAATCTGAAATGACCAGTGTGTTTTACATTGCCAAAGTGCTTGCTGAGGACTGTCCGTCCACATAGCCACCAATAAATTCAGGGAAGGCAGGAGGACATTTTTTCAGGGTAGTACACAGAGTATTGAGCTCTTGAAAACCCTGAGAAAAACTAGAGCTTTAGAAAGTAAATGGGAAGTAGGATATTCAGTTCTTTAAAAAAAAAGGTCTAAATATGTGGTCTGAACTTAAGTGTCCTAAAACCTTGATTTTTTTTTTTTTAAACCACCTCTGGGTTTGCCTGGACTCCCTCTGGAGAGAGAATTGGAAGATGCGGCAGTGGAAAAACCCTAGTAAGAAAGTATATGAGTTCTTGCAAGATGGTGTTAGGAAGGCCGTCCTATGCCCCAAGCCATACAACCTGGCCTTTATAAACTGTTTGTTCATGTGCCTGGGTAGAGAACAAGTCAAGTAGTCTTTCAGAGACCAGGTTTTGCAAGTAGAGGAGAGGCTCTGAGCCATGTTTTGCTGGAGGCAGTCTGCTTGGATGGGGAGGGCTGACCTGAGACCAGACATCTGCTCAGGAAGGGGGCCGGCAACCGCATGCCATTGCCTAAATGAGAAGCTTTAGGTAGACTGTCTTGAATTTTGATAGCAAGACATTTAAATAAATCTATATTGTAGCCTCCTGAGAATGTACTTCTCGTGTCTTAAAAAGAAAAACAGGGAGGGCTTCTCGGATCAGAGCCCAGGGAGCCGTGTAAACTTGCAGGGAAATTAATGCGGTGGTCCCCGGGCGGCCCTTTGCTCTGCCTCAGTTTTGGTCGTTCACTTCGAGGAGAGAACTTCTTGGAATAGTAGGTCTTAGCGACCTCACGTTACTCCACAAATGTTTGCTGGCCACAGTCTCACTTCTGAACATCTGGATCTGGGCAGTTTTGAAGCGATGTAGGGAACAGAATTGATTTTTCCACTGTGTAGTCCGATTTTGCCAACTCACCCAAGAAAGAAAGTCTGTGATGTGCAGAGTTTGTGTTTCTTGGATGGGACCCCGCAGGTCCCCCTGCCCAGTCCCACAGTCATCAATTCCTACCTCTCAGTTCCTGCCAAAGGGTCTTTAGCCTCTGTGTGCACTCACTAAATGAATGCCTTGCCTAAAGTTTGGCCTCTTTAAAAGCAGAAACGGCATTTGATGGTGTAAAAATAGGAGGGTTTAAAAAAAGCGATCTCGGCCTCTCTTTCTCTCTCCTCTTCCTCCCCCCTCTTTTTTTCCCCTGTTACCCTCTCCCTATCCCCAGATTCATTTTTTTCTCAGTTGTTAACAAGTATGTTGTTTTGAATGTGGACCTTGGGGGAGGGACGACGTCTTTCTGAGGACAGAGAATGGAACACACTTCGGAGCTGCTGGGCCACATGGGGTTCTGCTCTGCCGTCGGGGCCAAAGCCACGGCTGTTTCTTGAGAGCATTGAGGGTTTTAGCGTCTCAAGGCAGACCTATGAAGAATTCGTTGCTAAACCTGATTTTCTACTAGTCCAAATCTGTTGAAAGTCAGAGGCAGCCTAGGATTTGGTGAGTGAAATGCCATCTGGCAACATGGGGACAAGGGGGTGGCCCGAGATGGTTTCATCAGGGTGGGAATGATCAGTCTAGTCACATTGGGTGTGACCTCAGAACACACGGTCCTTCAAGAGTGCTCATTTTCCCTTCTCCGTTTTACTGTGGCCCCTTTCTCTCTCCCTTCTTGCCCTTTGCCCTGCCTTTTCAGTACTCAGCTTTTAAATAAATATTTACATTTTTATTATATATTTGGTCCTTTGGGACTATGTAATGGTTAAGAATTGATTTC